CTTTCCATTCGAATTAGCCCCTCCCGAGATCCGAAAGTGCGCCACGAGTCCCACGATGGGGCCGCTATGTTGTGATACCGTTTGTAGGGTTGTTATGGACAAGCAGATGCCCCCGCCACCCGAGCGAACGAAGTCCCTCCTTGGCTGGGTCGCATGACACAGGTACCTGCAGGTACGGGCCCAATCAATAACGGTAAGCTATGTTTTGATATCCCCGCACCAGGATACGACATGGTATTACTAGAGAGTATACGGTGTCAAAACCAAGAAGGGAAAATAAGGGGGAAAAAAGAAAAAAGGAAGAAAAGAAATAAAAACAACCCCTTATAGTACTATACTAGTACAGAATCCCCCCCCTATAAACTAATCGAGTATAACCAAAAGGAAAGCAAGGAAAGAGTGATTCCCTCTTCGAGCGCAACTAAATTTACTTCCCAAAAGTTGAGGCGCTCGCTGACTTTGACATCGGCAAGTAGGCAGGTATCGCAGCTGTTATCATTTGATACTGTGCTACAGCAAAAGCACAATACTCGAGTACAGCGCAAAACAGTTTTCACCCATAACCATGACCACACTCAAGCCACTGTTTTCCCCGCGTTTTTATTTCGAGAGTAGGACACTTGTACTACCGTATGCAGGAGTGTGGGTTGGTACTTGGAAGGTGGTATGGTGCTAGTTTGGTCCGGCCAAGTGTTGGTACTTGTACGAGCACAATACAGTGTGCTGATACTGTATGCATGTTTATGTGGAAAAATGCTTCCGAACTCCACTTTCTCACCCGGAATGCTCTTTTCCTCTTTTCCTATTATACCTCTACTCTCATTGTGATTCTAGAAACTGCTGTCGCAATTCGGGATTTTTGGTTCCGGGGATCACGGCTTGAAAGGCTCAACAATCGCTCGGAGGGTTGGCGGCTCCCCAGCTCGGAGGCTCTGATGCCACACAGGATTTTTGCAAAGGAGGGCCCAAGCTGATACTCGTAGTTGCAAAATCTAGGGGGGGGGGCAGTCAAACACCCGAACTCTTCCCGTAGTTTTCAAGCTAGTAAACGCCAAAGGGGGGATCGAAAAATTAAAGTTATTTCCTAAAAACCACAACCATCACTACCAGTTGCTTTTTTGACAAGCTACATACTGCATACGCTCGTTCCACTTAATCTAGGTGATTAAGTTTAAAAAATCAGTGTAACCAGAGCACAACACTGATACCACATAAATGATAATGGGAGTACTTGTACGAGTACTATTTGTAGGGATTGGTACGAAATAGAATGTGGACTCAAGTAGACACCCTGCGACAATTCCCTCTCAGGGTGGTTTTTCCAGCCAGCAAGCCAGTCATTCCAGGAGAAGGGGAAAGGGAAAAAGAAAAGACTCTGTACAAGTACCGTGCTCATGCCTGAACTTGGGGAGAGTGGGGCTTGGGGGGGCTTGGGGGGTGAAATTGGCATTTCGTGGTTTACTTGTGCCTGATTGATTCGTGATGCGTGGGGGATGGTTGCGGGATATTCCGTCCTGGGAGTGACTGTGGTAATCAGGTTGGTTAATTTTGTTTCTTTTCTTTTCTTTTTCCACTCTCTGGTAGCCGGGGCATAGGGCCGAGTTCTATTAGGATCTTTTCTTGTTTCTGTGTCTTTTGTGTTTTACAGTATGTTTTGACCACGCTCGGGTTCAGCGCAAGTTAAAGTTGTTAGATGAAGGAGAGCGATAAGGTACCGTGATAGGTGAGCGGGAATATTCTTACTGTGATAGTGGCTTGAGCAAGGCAATGTACAAGTATTGTCTGGTGATCTGAGTGTCTTAATATCACGATGCTCACTTCCCAATCCAAATGGCCAAACTATCATAGGAGTACTCGTGCCGCCGAATTGAAGCCTGACACAATCATAAAGTAGCGATCAGCGAGCTAACAAAAGTGTACCGGCAGTCTAAAAGATGCCAAGCTGAGTGATGTAGCTGGATATATGATATTGTACCAAATAAAAGGCATCATTGTGGATAATTCATCGCGATGGCCAACCTGCATATATATCCATCTGGGCAAGGAGATGCTAGCATTATTCGAGTGCATGTTGGAAGAGCTAGAATGGAACCTACTGGTAGATTTCCCCTCCTCAAGAGAGCAGCAATTCTAGCACCCAAGCGGCATGCAGATATGTCATACATGCGCAGGTGGCAGTTGCTCATGCTCTAAATACGTATGCAGTGTCATTCCTGAGGATTAATAATATGCCTCGGCGCATACCCAATCCTGCCTGGTTATTCACTACTCGAGTACTTTATGAGGGCATCCAATTTCAATTAAGTAGGGCGAGTATGGTACCGAAGTCCATCTCGAGCCTACAGTCTAACCGTAGTAGCAATCTCTCCTACTCCCAATAGTAATTGGAGCAGGTCGCGGGAATCCGTAGAACAGGAACTCCCTACGAGTACTGTACTGTACATCTGCTCCTCCTCAAGGATCGCTTCTCACCTAGGCGACAGTAATCGATATGTTGCTATGCCCAAATGTACCCTATGATGCAGCATTGACCACAATTAACCACTCCTGTCTACTTGGCTGTCCTGGGGGGGGAAACGGAAAGACATAAAAAGAAAAGAAAAACATCTTCTCCCACCCCTTCAAGATGCAGGCAGGCAGGCAATGTGGAACAACCAACGATTAGAGAAAAGTAGCAACGGCGGCTTTCAATTGGCTGAGGTCGCAACGATAGATCACCACATCCGAACTCCCGACGCCGGGTTTCCGCGCCATCGCGGCGCGGTGGGAATTTTCCTGAGACCTGTAAATCCGCTTCTACTCGAGCACTCTTACCACTGCCTGAAGGGATTGCGAACGCAGTCTGACAAGCATACCGATATGGTACTCTGACACGAGTCTCACAGCCCCGATTCTCAAAAAGCAAATAAAAATACCCTTCCACAAAGTGAAATTCGAGCTCAGTGCCAGTACGGTGCTCGAGTACAGTATTGAGGCTGAATGGTGTCACGAGACTTTTTGTCCTTTCTTTTTTAAATTCTCTCTGCTTTCACCGTATTGGTTTTTTTGTTTGTTTTCCTTGCATTTGTGCGGTGGGGGAATGCGGTGGAGGGGCGAGGGGAATGGCGGGGGAGATACTGTGTAGTATAGGTATTGTGTCGAATTAATAGAGTTGGATTTTGCTACGCTTATCATACGATTTTAACCCTTTAACTGGTGGTAGAAGTGGACAGGAATGGAGTTGACAGCGGTGGTGGTGGTGGTTGGAAGTTATTGTGGCATTATTGTTGGCGCTGGTATCATACTATTATTGAAGGAGCCGTAAGAAAGTACCGTAAGCTTGAGGATACTGCTTATATAGAAACCCTGTATGGCTCCGATGATAGCAAATGTGCTGGAGGTTTAGTAACGGAGCTTTGCTTTTTGAGGGAAGAGTCGCTCCCTTTTACGGGGGGTGGATAGAAAAGGCTGCGGTGGAAGAATAAAATATGGTGCGAGAAGATGAGAAGGGTGAGCATGTCACCCTTGTTCACACCATGAGCAACCCGCCAATCATAAAAACCAGATCCTCAATTATTTTGCCCATGAAGCCACAGAATCTGTAAAAATTGCGGATCCAGAGCTGTGGCTTGCCCGTGGGAATGAGTTTCAATGATTGTGTGAATGGTGAGGAACTTACATTTTCCCATCTACTCGCACTATACGGTGGTCTGCTTTCTCTGCTCTGGTGATAGTGGTAACATATATACTACTTGTAATGCAGTTAATATCGGCTGCATACTGGTTCAGTGCATGCACTGTGCTAGATGATGAGATTTACATCTTTCACGAGGAGCTGACTGAGTATACCTGAACCAAGTCAATACGCGAATTAATACAAGCAAGGTACCTGCTCGTTAAAAAAAAATCATGCGGCGGGGCTCTAGCTCGACACCAGTCAACCAGGTATCTGTGTATCATAGGAATACATAGAATTCGATATCTGGGCAGTGAATGGCCCCCTCCCCACGATCCCATATTACACTATCACATCCCAACCCATACATCACCCCTTCATCCATATGGTACTGTACACCGCACCCTGTGCTGTGCCGTCGCAGGTGACATTTCCAACCAACCATCCACCCCCCTCCCCCCGTTCCCAAACGTCAAAGCCAAAGCAGCCCTGGCAGAAACAACGACAAAAGTCCTCCCCATACGGTCGAGCACTGGATAGCCAGCAAGTAGCCCAGCACCCCACAAAACCCTATCCGGCATATCACACCCACAGCATGGGTTCAAGCCTTCCCAAAAAAATCAAAAGAGCTACACAGCTGCAGCACCCCCAAGAAGGGTTTGCTGACCCTGATCCAACCGCCCACCCATCCACCAATCCCTCCCCCATCCCACTCCCATACCTCCACCCCCTCCCCCCAAATCTGGCTTTAGGCATCCTTTGTTTAAAGAGCCATGCATCGCCCACCTACTGCCCCCCGCAGCTTATTTGTAGATCCAAATAACAGAACTTTGCAAGATTGGGAAATCTCCCATCTTTTATCTTTATCTTCCTCTCATTTATATCCCTTCGGAGGGAGAGGGGTATACCTGACCGCTTTTACGATACGACCTGCACGGAGCTTGGCAGCGTCCTACGACGCGGGGATTGATTGATTGATTGGATCCGAGTTGGACTGCTGATACTGCGGATTTACGATAAGTGCAACGGCCAGAGTATCTTTCTTTCCCCAAGCAAGCAAGCACACGGGGTCAGGAAGGGAAAAGAGAAGGGAAGGAAGCGGGTTGCATTGGTGATACACTAGGAGCCATTCCTTTTGGGCAGGCTGCGCAATTGCTGTGCCTACTAATTACTACTGCTCCCTACGCGCAGCGACTGTCCCGCGCTATACTTGCTTTGCTTTGCTAGGTATGTTTTTCCTTTATTTTGTTTCTTTTCTCTCTCGCTCTTTATACATAGGGTACTGTACGTGTGCTAGGTTGGAGGAAATTCCACGCTTGAGCTACTACTACTATTCGTACCGTTTGGACATTCTTTGGAGGTTTCGCATTTTACTTTTTCAAGTTACCGGTATCTGTCTAACTTGACGGGCGGTCCGTCGGGATCACCCGATCTTATTTTTATTTTTTTGCTTTTCCATATTTCCTTTTTTATAACTTTCCCTTTGTCGTGGAAAAGAAGGTACAGAAATAGCTTTTACTAATAAAGTTAAAAACAGTATAGAGCTGCCTCCACCCACATTCTTTCTCCAACTACGACATCACAAGGAAGTAAGAAGCAATCGGAGGAGGAAGCAACTGAAGGAAATTAGGGAAAGAAAGAAAGAAAGAAAGAAAGAAAGAAAGAAAGAAAGAAAGAAAGAAAGAAATGGCATGGACAACTCTCCAACTGGAGATCCTTCAAACAACCTCCAGAGTATCTTCAGTATTCTCACTGCTCGGTGCAAGTTTCATCATCATCACCTTTTGCGCATCCACCTCTTTTCACAAGCCGATAAACCGACTAGCGTTCTTCGCTTCCTTCGGTAATATATTGACCAATGTAGCTACAATAACGTCGAGGAAGGGGATTGAGCATGGGAGCCAGTCTGCGCTATGTAAGCTCCAGGCGACGTTTATTCAATGGTAAGTACGATCACTCATCCATTATTTTATACACTGAGAGGATCTAGGACTGACCACTAGAAATAAATAGGTTTATGCCCGCGGATGCACTGTTCGTCAGTTTACCTATGCTCCCTCAACCTGAAGGGTAAAAAAAGTACTGACTTGGTTATCATAACAATCAGTGTCTAGCAATGGCCCTAAACGTCTATCTGACAGTGTTTAAAAAATACACTACAAAGCGCCTACGAGACCTAGAACTCACCTACATCCTCGTCTGCTACGGCGTTCCCTCAATCCCGGCAGTAATCTTCCTGTTCATACAGAACAGCAACGGAGTATACATATACGGCAGCGCAACGCTCTGGTGCTGGATTTCCAACGAATGGCAATTCATGCGTATCGCCGCCTTCTACGGTCCCGTCTGGTAACCCCCTTCTCCCCTCCTCTTTTTTCCTCGCCATTCCAGCTAACGAGGGAAACTCAGGATAATCCTCGGCGTCACAATAATCATTTACATCCTGGCCGGCCGTGTGATTTTCCGCCTCCGCGGATCGCTCCGCAACTTTGCGGGGAAGTCTGCCCTGGGGCCACCAGTGAAAGACACATGGAGCACACAGAGCCACAACATATCTCGTACCATGTCACCGGACCTGACCCCGGGACCCAGCGCCTCTATCAATCCTCCGCCAAGCTACACCGTCATCATTGAGTCCGGGCCCAAACCCCCAGTTGCGAACAACAACAACAACAACCGGGCGCCCAGGAACAGCGCTGTGGAAGCTAACACCGCAGCGTGGGCTTACTGCCGCTGCGCGATGTTGTTCTTTTTGGCGTTGCTTATCACCTGGGTAAGTCACTCAGGTACTCTGCCCAAATGAAGAAGCAAAGGTACTAATGGATTCTCGTGTTTACTTGCAGCTTCCCTCCAGTGTAAACAGAATCTACAACCTCATCTACCCCGACGCAACCCACTTCGGCCTCAACTTCGCCGCAGCGCTCGTCCTGCCCTGCCAGGGCTTCTGGAACGGTCTCATATACATCGTGACCACGCTCCCCGCCTGCAAGGAGTTCTGCCGAAACCTGGGGGAGCGCTTACGCCGACCGTTCGACATGGCCGCCCGGTGGAAAAGGTCCCGGCGAAGCTGGTCGAGTAAGGCTAGCAGTACGAATAGTTTACAGCCTGTATAGATTCTACGAGCCTCCTTTTTTTTCTTTCTTCCTTTCTCGTTTGTTTGCGTAATGGATTGAGTTCTCCTGGGGGGTTTTTTTTTTTTTTGGTATTATATAAGAGTGTACGATAGGTCGCTATGATGGCGTTTTTTTTTTTAATCTTTTCCTTCTACCTTCCTTATCACCCCCACCCCACCCCACCCCCTCTCCCTTTCTTCCCTTCTTTTTTTCTTTTTTTTCTTTTCATAGTTTTTCCTGCTCTCCTTACTTAAATCACGGAGTACAGAGGCTGGACGGATGGGGACCCTAGATGGGAAGGTGCAGGATTCCTAAGCGGACAATGCGAACGCGAAGGGGCAAAGGAACGGAATCATCATAATCAGTAAATAGCTAACCTAGTACCGGTATCTAAACATTCATAATCTCCTTTTAGGAAAGTAAAGATAAACTGCCCTTTCCCTGAAAAAAAAAGAAAGTGCTATTACCATACCTTACTCATCTTCCTCCGGTTTTAAGCTGCTGCTGCGTTTTTTTTTGTGGTGGTGGCCCAACAAAAAGTGGCGCAACTTTCAATTCGGCGGCACCAGTTAAAGTGCGCAGCCATAGTCCTACCCAATGACTTACGATATGATGATAACCCGGATTACCCTTTCCAATTCCCAGTAGTTCCCAACCATGCTTTCCACCGTCGTCGTCGTCGACCACTATATAACCCAAGCCGTTAGACGGCGCATACAGTACAGATTTAGGGGTAAATCGCTGATTAATTAATGCAAGCAAATCCATCGTTTCACCAGCTGTCACTCTAATGTTCCTTCCTTTCGAGACGGGCACACCTAAACAGAGACCTGGGCCGGAAAGCGGGACTTCCGAGCGAGCGACCCACTTTTTCCATGCGCGGATTTCTGCAATAGCGAGTTTCAAGGAAAGAAAACTCACCTGAGAGATACCGGTATAGTCTAACTGGGCGTCTGAAATGCACAGTGCATCCTGCCCATTCTTTAACCTGTTCCGTTACGGGTGGCGATGGGGTAGAGTATGATGGATGATACATGATCCGGAAGCGGTTGCAAGAAAGAAAGAAAAAAACCCTTATCTTGACAGGTACCACAAAGGACCCTTACAGTACTGTACAGGAGAAAAACATTGATCATCACCCTATCCTAATTGCGCGGAAAAATCCGAGATGTTATCTCATATCATGAAAGATCTTAAGGTTACGTAATCCTTTTCGATAAAAAACCCGTTTGAATTTTTGCCGGGTGGAAAAACCCCCCCTCCCGATTTCGGTGCGATCTCGTTGCTGCCTCCTTTACGAGTACTAAAACGGTGCATATCTCATTCCTCCTCACCGATTGCTGACATGACATGCCATGCATGCCACGCATTTTTTTTTTCGGCACGGCGGCTGTAAGTGAAGCGAACGTGATGTTTCCGGGCAAGCGATTGGTTTTCGGAGATGCACGAGGCATCTCTCTTTTTTTTTCTTTCTTTCTTTTTTTTTTGTGTGTGCCAATGCTTTTGGGAGAAGCTCGTAAAATGGCGCTATCTGCCTGTGGGTGGCAGATGTGAGGAACAGGAGTGGTGGCACAGCAGATACAATAGGTGCTCGAGTATCGGTGGATTGGGTTGTTGACACAGGTACAAGTACTAGTACAAGAATATGATGAAAGCGCGAGGAAGTGGTCAAAAAGTATCACCCGTCAGGGGTAATCTTTCGCCTTATATACTTGCAATTTCCGCTGGTGATATTGAACCGCCCGGAGTTTAATACATCCAAACACTACACGATGTTTACAACGCGCCGAGGAGAGAAAATATAAGACATCTATCACCCCCGCCAACACCACATTCTCAAAGGAGCGAAAGGCAAATCTCTTGCCGCTCGGGATCATCCAACCAGCCCCTCCCAAATTCTCACCCGGTGTACCCCGCCGCGAACCTGCTCCACCGGCGCAACGAAGGCCATCTGACTCCACGAGAACAGCGTATTCCGACCGCCAAAGATGAATACCTCGAAACGGCCCAGGAACGTGCCGTTCTGCCACACCCTACTCCCACCGATCCTGTCCGTCTGTATGGTTATCGTGGCAATCGGGGGGAGGGACACGGGTATGTGTGTGGATGCGGTGTCGTTGGACCAGATACGGCCCGGGTGACTGGGGTCGAAAGCGCTTTCCGCAACGCTGCGGAGGGGGTACTCGAAGCCGTCGGCCGTGAAAATGAGGGTGGAATCGGGGGTTAGTGTTAGCGAGACGGCATCGTGGGCTGAGGAGAGGGTGAACGGGGAGGTGTAGGTGATTTGCATGGTGTAATTCATCCCCTTGGATTTGGTCGCTAAACGGACACCGAGGGTTCCGGTTGGCCAATCGAATAGTAGGTCCCCGAGATTGTATCCCCCTCCTAATCTCCTGTCAAGGTTCTGGCCTGGGGCGTTATTGGTCAGGATGGACTTTGAAATTTCCAGTGTTCCGACGTCAATTTCAGGACCGCGATGTCCGCTCCAGCTCCTTGCTCCGACGACAGGAATTCCATCCCGAATACAATAATACGCCTCCAATTGCGTCGTGGCGTCTGGGCCGTTGTCATTCCACGTGGCCATTATGGCACCTTTATTTCTCTTACTCTCGATCGGAATCTGCCACTCCGCCGTCGTGTTAAACGGATTATACAGACTGGGCTCCCACTGCCAGCCATTGACACCACCAAAGTTCAGCACACGCGCCTCGTTAAAGTATTGCGGATATGGCGCTGGCAAGATTGGCGTGTGGTCGTTCTTCAACCCAGTATACCCCCACCAATCCTCCGAATTGATGATCTCGTAACCGTCCCTCTCCAACTGCACGGGGTCTGATTGCCCGTACTGCCAGTGCTGCGTGGTTATCGCCCTAGAAATCACCGAGGTGTTACTCGGTTCATGAGTGCCCCATATACGCACTTTCTTCCCAGCGGTGGTAAAGATGAACTCAGACATGGTATTAACAAAGTGGATGTAAACATCCGCCAAGTCGGAATCATACTCGTCTGCGCCGATGTGCACTTCCTTCGTTTGAAACCAAGGCAGGAACTCGCTCCAGATAGCCTTCACGGTGGGGATGGTGTCCGGGTGCGTCAAGTTCAGCAAGTCCTTCTTGTTCGTCAATGCAAGTTCCGGCTTCCACTTCGTTATTGCCAAGGCATGCCCGGGTGCTTCTATTTCTGGGATTATGGTGATTCCGCGGGAAGCGCAGTGCCTTTGTATTGATTCAAATTCCGCCCTACTGTGGGATTCGTTGTGTCTGGCGACCAGCGGGTGGAGCGCGACGTTGTCCGGGATCAGTGAGAACTGGGAATAGATGTTTTGCCATGTGCTGTTGCGGCCGCGGTTCAACGGGTAGTTGTCTGAGGCGTGGTAATGAAATTCGGAGAATTTGAAGAATGAAGCGTAGGTGCAGAGATCTTTCAGGAACTATTTTGGTTTAGACGGTTAGAACGGGGAGGTGTCCGGCATACCACCCGATGGAACGCAAAAAACACAGAGAAGGGAGGAAGAAGTACATCGGCAGAATACCATTTCCTCCCTGCGTCCAGCAAGAACCCTCTAGTCGGGTACGCCGGCGAATCCACCGCCCGTCCCGCCTTCAGCTCGATAACCTCGTCCCTCCTATCACCTGGATGAACACCCCCCACCTCTCGCGCCAGCATCAATTCCTGTAAAAGCGTCCGAGTACCCCACCAAATACCCCTCGCCCCACCGCCCAATATTCTTACCGAATCTTCCGCGACACTGATTGTATACCCCTCCGAGGTCTCAATTCCGCTCTCGTACGTATACTTTCCCGGCCCCTCATCAATTCCCAAGTAAATCCCCGGACCAGCCCTCCCACGCTCAAAAGCAACACACTCTACCCTAACATCCACATGAAACCTATCCTTTAAATCTCCCGCGAAGGTTTCTGCAAACTCCCGCACCGACGGGGGGATCAATGTTAGTCCGTCCGTGTCACGGGCCTCCGCGGCCGATTCCTGCAGGTATATGGTTGGTGGCCGACGGAGGGAGAATTTGAAGGTCCCTGTGGAGTATCGCCACGGTACCGGTGGGAGCGCGTTGTACGCCTCTGCTCCTAGGAGCGACAGTGTTAAGAATAGGAGCACTAGGAGCTGCATTGTGGGGGTAGTCGTGGTTGGGGTATTGTGAAGGAAGGTTGGAAGAGGGGGTATACAACATTTTTATTGTGTTTATAGTTCCTATTTTGCCTCCTTCTGAAGAAAGGGATCGGCGTTATGTATATGCCTTAGGCTCGCTGCCACGGTTGCGGTGGGTTGATATTACTTGTATCATATGAGATTGTTGTTCCATCGGGTTGATGGGGTTTGGAGTGAGGTTGTTGGGGGGGGGGACAGTTACTGTATTTGCACTAACTTTATTTTTGCCTAAAAGCCAGAGGCTATCGTCCCCTGAGCCGGGTCGCTCACCAACAAACTGCCAAGCCATTGATCAAGCAACCATCCTGCCCCCTCATTCATATCAGCGCCCCGTTATAATAATTATTAATGAATGCCAGGTATTATATCAGGCCATTTTTGTTCCTAGTAGCAGATTGTTCAGCAAAGTACAGTACCGTAGCCATCCGGCGGAAGTCAGGCATTATGCGTCAGCAGTTGTAAAGAGATTTATACTGAGAATCTGGTAAAGGAATACAAGTAGTAATAGAAATAACAAATTACTTCCTATATTACTGTTCTCCATCTCATAGACTCCAGTTGTACTGAAAGAACAGTATCGGGTCGGATAGAGAATACGTGATGGTAGTTCAAGTTGATCGATGAAGATTCAAAAAGAGAAGTAAACAAACAGAGAAAGAAAAAAGTAAAATCAAACGATGGTCCACGATAATTTGGAATAGCACAATCCTTTGGCTAGTTCCCACATCCACAATCATAATGTTGTTTGAATTCATTCACTTTCGGTCGTCTGCTCTCATATATGCACTTGCTCATGAAATTTGTTCGAGGAGTTCATGTTCCCACATGATTTGTTCATTATGACAACAGCCTTTCATTATAAAGGGGTCCATTGTAGCATGATGCAACTGTTGTAGCTGTGGTTTTGCAAGTAGAGTTTTTCCGGGGTGGGGTGGTGGTGAAAATCGGCCGCGGACCCGGTTTGTTGAAGACTCGCGACCCCTAATTGATCTCGCTCGAGCCAACAGCCTACAGGCTTCATCATAGCCTTTATGTAAGAGACTGTTGACATCCATACGAGCACCTATATAACATTCTATTAACGGTTGTCACTGTCAAAATATCTGCCATTACCCCCTTCTGCAGAGACGCTCTCAGCCGCGAACATAACAGGCCAGTCAGGGTTATCGTGGCATTTGTCACCCGGCACAAACACAGCATCATCCACCACCAAGCCAACCAGCCGAGCATCAACAAGCAATACCGGTATCACTCCGTCTTCTCGTGGACGACCTCCCAACCGTGCGCACAGCAGTAATCGAAGCTGTCATACGAACCTAAACCAGGGACCGACAAACCCTGTCGGAACCTCTAACAAAAATAGCCCGCCATGGTCTCAACATCCTCAGCAGAATCTTCCCTGCAGTCTCAAAGCCAGCAGCAGCAGAAGCATCATAACAAGCTTCAAGAGCCCCAGCCTAGAGATGCTTTCAGAGGCACTCACCCCTCCCCCAACTCTTCCGTATTTCAAACATCTACCATTGCCTCCGCGGCCCCCCCCGCAATCCCGATCCTTCCCATGCCTCCCGCCGGGTATGAAGATGCAATAGAGCTACAACAATGGGACTATGGCGGACCACCACACAATCCATCCGATGATAGCAATTGCTGTGAAACCCCTAGATCGGAACAAACCTCCGGAAGTACAAAATATGGCTATTCTGGCCCAGCTACCACTCCCGACGACTCGGGTTCATCCAATTGTTCCACAGTGGGCTCACCACCGACGCCCGATGGCCCTGACGCCTCAGTTCTGAAGACATTGAAATTACTCTCAAGGTTTGCTGTATTTTGGGATGACCATATGTCGGTTGTGGTCCCTTCTAATGCTGCGCGAGACCATCTAGGTAGGATTAAATTCTTCCCTCTTGCCCAATTGTCTTTCTCTCTTCCCCTCCTTTTTTTTCTAAAAAAAAAAAAATCTCTTATATCGTTCACAACCTCAATTATTTGGTTCTGCCCGACTCTACACGATTTACAACGCTTGTTTCACCCAATAAATCTCATCGATCTTAGGGGCTGTTTGGTGCGTCATCTACCGTACTGTATCATAGCTGCAAACCATGGTTGCCAAACAGCCCCTTACCCTTTGCGACTCCTGGATGTTCCATTAAGCTCAAGACTCTAGTTAGCCGCATGCCCTTTTGTGCCTCCCTCCATGAACCCTGATAGGTGGCTACACACATTTCCCGAGTGGGGATCGAATTCATATATAAACCCGGCGTCGTACAACTACGATTAGTGCACTCTTATTGCTTAGTTATAATAGAAGCAAAGGGCCGAGAGACTGCAGCTAGGCGTCTACATGGCACTACAGACATGCGTTCACTTGTCCAGTACGAATCTCAGGGCATAACCAAATATCCAGCTTACGGATATCTTTGCCCCCCATGATCTCTCTCTCATCCTTTATCTACGAACCTATATACCCTATCCCGCGCTTGATCGTATCCCCTATCACGTGGCACGCTCCCCTTTACCGGCATCATACTAGCCTTCACTCATCCCCAATTGTCTAATCCTCCTGCCTCATCCATGACATGGCCCACCCACGAATACCTATCCTCGTTTATCTACATGCCTTACATCTCTCGGAGCATGTTATCACTATCCGTCGTTCCAGAAGTACAGACACGCCCCGATCTACCGACTATGCAGAGTTTGGGGCCAGGGTCATAGGCAGCTGAATGGGAACAATTCAACTGGATAGAGCCGAGCCCGAAATTTGTTCCCATGCGCACATATTTGTTTGCATTTGAGGCTACCGGTAACAAGCTTCCCCGGAAAGTGATTTTCGGGTAGACCTCGTGCTTTCGTGAGATTCGGCTATCGCGATTTCCCAACTTTAGAACTTCCAGGGGTTTCAAAAAAGGGAAAAGATTCGGCGCCATATACCCAATTTCTTCTTTAACTTGACTCTTATCTGGTTGTTGTAATCCTTGTTTTTCCCCTCTTTAACTCATTTTCTCTGTTCCTGTACTTTTCTATCTTCACCGCTGTCCTATGATAATCGCAAACCAGATACTGACCTAATTTCCTTACAGCCTTGGAAAGAACCTATCTAGCCTATCATCGCACTTCTCTCGTATTCGCAATTTCCGCTGCTATCACTGCGCAACTAGCCGTGATTCAGCAAACACCCACCCCCTCTACAACTTTCGGATTCCACCGTATTGGGAAGCCAATCTCGATTTTGCTAGTCTGTTTCTCGTTAGCCATATCTATTCTCGGTGTCCTCAGGTGGTGGAAGCTACAGAGTGGGCTTTTACGGGGTGTTGCGGTAACCGGAGGCATAGAGGTCTGGATTCTTGCATCTGGAATTCTCTTGGTAGGTTCCAAATCTACTTAGTCTCACTATACCATACTTGGCATTATAAGATAATCCAAGACTATTACGTTGCGACAGCCGTATACACTCAAATGAACTTTACCCGAGCAAATTCTTGGAATGAATTTCCCCAAACTCCCACGCGCTTCAGCCCCCAATTTTCCCCCCCCTCAGTTCACCTTCAATTGATACTAACTGCTGCTGATAGCTCATGATAGTACTTTCCGGGTTAGTGATCGCCATGGATATTGACAAGTAGTATCATCATGTCCTTATGCTTCATTAGGGCTGCTCTATGGCGGGGCTACTTAGTGTCTCGCAGGCTTCTGCCGGCTTTTTTTCTTTCTATTTTTTTTCCCTATGTTACACCGATGCCTTACATCACTCACCATCTAGAAGGCGCACAGCAATATATTAGAATGGGCTTGCACATCTAAGCTCGAGTAACCGCATCTTACTCGAGTAGCTTCAGCCTATATGTGGGACACCAGTGGAATTTCTTTAATTTCAAGCGAATAGAAAACTTTCTTTGTTAGAGGATCATCTCATTTTGCTTACAGCCTTATTTCTTAATGGTAGGCTAATGAAAACACCCCATATATTTATGACTCATGTACGCCGATGATGATTTGCTATGATATCTGAGCCTAACAATTGACATATTTGTGCTATGTGCAGAGAATTCTGTTTGGTCGGTCCAAGTGACACTGTGTACCCCCAGCTGCGAGGATGGCGTGACGGCTGGGGCGAGCCAACTAGTTGATACCTTAGCGACAGGCATCAATAAAAAGGGCCCCACTTGTGGTTAGTGCCACCTCTAGCTTTAGTAGGAACCAGATCTCAGGGATGACGAGTGACCAATGATGATTACTACCGCGCAGCAATGATTTGATAGCACAATTCGCAAGGAAATAAGGATAGCTAAATAGGCTCCTGCCCGCAGGTCCCATTCATTTTTTCTCAAGCTATGATACAATATGATTCCAAAGGAAAATTACCCACCAATGCAATTTTTAAAAACAAAAAAGTCTAGAGAATAAAGAGCTCGATGAAAGAACGCTAAAAGTCAAAAAAGGAAAGAATAAAACCCCATCGAATCTTTTTTTGAGAAGTATGAAAAAGGGAAATGAAGAAGAAAAAAACCCCGAAAGAAAACAACCTCTAAAAAGCGCGAAAAGTAATGGAAAGGGAAAAATAAAAGCAGGGAAAAAAAAACAGAACAGAACAGAAAACACACCAAAATCACTGGTACCAACCCTTGCCTCTCAGCCAGCCAACGCCCTTAGTGAGTGCTGCCACCAATCCGTCCACTATCCAAGTCACACACCTTCTATTCCTCGACAATTCCAGCCGATCCCCAACACCAGCCTGACACCTTCTGCAATGCTTGAGGGCGCAATACGCTCCCCCGAGGTGCTGCTCGCCCTCAGACTGCGATGCGATCTCGCTGTACATGGACGCAACAAGTGTTGCGCAGGAATCCCTATCACTGCCAGTGGCCGTGGCCGTTGCCCAATCCCCCCCATGTCTTCCGCAATTCTCCAGCGTGCAGGACCTCTCTCGGAAGTTCTCGAATGTGGACCGGACTTCGCTCATATTTTGCACGTGCGGTGGCGCAAATATTGCTCCGGTACGCTTGCTACTAGGAGTAGTGGTAGTAGCGCTAGCGGTATCGCAGTTCTTCTCGAACTTCCAGGAGAACCTCCTTTGGAGGTGCCTGGCGGTTAGCACCGGCGGTGGCCTTTCCTTGCGCCTCTTCGGTGGTGGAGGTGGTGGAGGCGGAGAAGGCGGCGGCGTGGGAGGGTTGGTCAATAGCAAACCCCGTTCTTCGCAAGTAGCACTTGGTATCTCAATTCCAAGTCCAATGAGGGGCCTTTCCCTCTCCTCAAGAGACAGCGATGGCGAGCTCTGGGATTCACATGTCGGGGCCAGTGGTGTTTCCGGTATCGGCTCAAATCCGGGAGGCCCCTGCTCGTAGGTCGAGCCCGCCTCTTCAACTCCCGATACCCAGCGTTCACACGCCGTAGTCGTGTCCGCGCATTTCTCGCAGATCCTTCCGAGCCCTGGCGATAAATGACCGCACGGCATCAGCGGCGTGGGGTAGCCAATGCATAGGCTCCTGACAAGTGTTTCCGGCATCGCGGGGGAATCGACGCTTGAATTTGTGGAGAGTGCCCGCTGGCTCGTGGGTGTCTCTGGGCCATTCTGAAAATTGCTTGCTGACCCCGTCGGGCTGACCATTTGGCTATACGGGGTTCGCATGCCCCGAATGTTCCGATCACTGTCTCCGGTGAATCGGCGGTTTTCTCGGAAAAGTTCTCTCATTGGGCACGGGGTGTATGGGCTTCCGTGAGGCTCTTTTTCTTGTCGTTGTTTTGGCTGTTTTGGGGGAAATCCTTTGGCCAGGGTTTTAATTCTTCCATATAAGATGGGTATTTCCATCGGTGGTGGGGGCGGGCATCTGGCATTATGCGGGACTGGTCCCGAGGTTTGGAAGAGGGCGCGGAGGGGGAGGAGGATCAGGGGGCAGGGGAAGTAATCCTCGAAATTTTTATTCCGTTGCTGCTTCTGTTTAGCCTCCCCGCTGCGAGGTAGTAGTGGAGACTTAGATCGCGGCGAGAAAATTCCCATCATCGAGTGTGTCTCTCGCTGAACCTGATCTGGTCTGGAAAGATGTGCACCAGTTTCTCTCTGTCTGACCTGTTACGGTATGGTATGTATGTATGTTATGTTTATGATTAACCTGGGCGGGGGTATAAGTAAGGAAACAAGATTGTGGGACGGGGCGGGATGGGGTGAACTGGGTGAGGGGAGGGGGAGAGGTGAACTTCACTTTATATAGCAATATATAGAACAGAAGAACAAACCCGACCATTTAAACCAACCAGTCAGGCGTCAAGAGCGCACGAACCAATGAGGCGTCGCACCGACTACCCACTTCGTCCATGCACATAACGGTGGAAAGATGACTTCTAGCACTGCGAACTTGACGTTCTTCCCCTTCTCAAGTTGAACCTAGCCAATAACAGTCCTCCACGGTAACTCTTATTTACTAGTGTGCAGCGGTCAGCGTATCCCACTCGCGGTACGAGCCTTGACTGAGCGTGCTTGTGCGCACCCGAAAGAAAAGGCCGTGAAATTGCGGAGGTACGTCACATTGCCGGTGCGAACTTGATACTAGTATCAGGTTGGCTCCGCTGGCGACGCATAGCAAAGGCGGCAGGCAGACGGGGCCTACAGTTATTTATTGTACGGGATACTTGCGCTGACCAAAGTGGATTAGGCGGTGAGGCGAGGCAGAAAGGCTCCAAATGCCAGAATTTTGGCACGATAAGATACACGACCCGTACCCAAGGATCATTGCGATGAGCGGGGTGTTGGCACAAGTGGCTTAGCCGTTTGTTTTGTATGAGGCTCTGTTTTAGAATTTATGGGAACAATCGGGGCACCTACAATACAGAAGCGGGGGAGAGCATACTCGAGTATACCGGTACTCGAGTACCGGTATTCAAGGACAGTACGGGTACGGTAGTAGGGCTACCTTGCATCATTCATCGAACATGTCATAATTGTAGCTTGAGTACTGGCGGTAGGGTGAAGTATTGGGACATACAGAGGGGGCAAATGTACGAGTAAGTGCGAAGAACAAAATAAATTGCCAATTTATTCTCTTGGCTGCTACAAAAGTAGTGTTATTTTCTTTTTTAGATATCCGGGGGTCTAGACTCATACTAATGAAGGAAATTTTGCACAGGCCGTCTCTTCCCTATTTGTCCCGACACTTCACCTGCACCCGGGTACAAGTACCATACTTGTATTGGAAAAAACTACACGATCTCACACCCACCCCCGAGTGACGTTTTATGCGAACAAAAGTGAATCTTGAAATCACTCTCTCGCATGGGAAAAAACCTTAGACCCCAACATCACTTTGGTCTACCCCTTTTCCTCCTATGGCCTCAATACTAGCCCTCCTGAGTCTGAAGCTATTCATAATAACCCCCCTATGCTCCTCCGTCGTTATCGCTAGTTCTTGAACCTCCTCCTCCCGAACCCAGCGAAATTCGTCGTGCTCGGCTTGGGTCAAGGACAACAACTTCCTCCCCTTCCCCTTCAATCTCAACCTCAAACTGCCACTTTCGAATAGCGCTCCCGCTTCTCCTCCCCTTGGAGTTATTGACGTCATAACACTGTGTGATCTTGCCAACCACTAACCCAGTCTCCTCCTTGACTTCGCGAACGACAGCGTCCAGGATAGTTTCGTAGGACTCCACCCCTCCTCCGGGAATCTCCCAGAGGCCGGGGAATGAGAGTTCGCCGATGGAACGGCGAATAAGCAGGAGGGTTGGCGGCGCATCGGTAAGTTGGGATTTGCGGAACAAGAATGCCCCGACAGCAAGGTACGTTACTGACGGTATTGTGGGCAGGAGGTCCGGCGGGGAGATGTTTAGGTGTGAGAGGGTGGAAGGGTAGGTTGCCCCGGAAGGTGGTTTTGTGCAAAATGTCGTTTTCGACCATTCTCGCGGAAAAACGTAGAAAATGAAAAACAATTTGTGCCTTTTCCCTTTCTTCCTTTTTTGTTGATGGTGAAGGTGAAAAAAATCGGCGTGGGTGTGGGGCACATTACTCGAGTTCACTCACTGGAACTTTTGTCGGTCAACAGTTTATAGGTCTGTGCTCAGATAACAGGGGTCTGATAAGTAGCAGATATCATACCGGTAATGCGGCTGAGCAGATGAGTCATCATTCACAATAAGTCACTCGGTTGGCTAAGCTTCTGCGCGTGTTTCAACTCTGCTCGCCTTTATGGCGGGTGGGGTCTTGGAGGATGGAAGCCTTATTTCAAGCCTGTTTCAGAAGCTTTCTTTTTTACAAAATATTGCCGCCTTCTGGTAGGAATACCTTTGTATCTCATTGGCCGTTTCGGCATCGGGTTGCTGGATCGGGATCACCTATAGATGGGCGGGGGGCAGTATTGGGACTGGCATTCGAGTGTCAAGGATACTCGAGTATATGGTTTTGATTGAAATATATGATAGCGCTTGAGTAACTCGCGGCTTCCTGTTATGGGGTTTCCAATGTTGATCGTGGGAAGTTGATTCTGCTTCAATGAGTCTACCATACTCGAGTACAAATGTTGGTACTTGTATCCAGGGGTAAATTAGACTAAGATTCCATCGAAAATTCATAGAGTTGCTGCCACTGCCCGACCCTGGCCGATTCAGGCGGCCTAGATCATGCGATGCTCCTTCGTTTTCGGGGTATCAGTGGATGCGGTAATCTCCTCGGAGCTTTCCTAATCTCTACCCTGAGCACTATTTTGTAATCTTTGGTTGGGTAACTTATGGGTTAACGGTCATAGTCATGAAACAATAAGGTTTAGTGTGCGTTTTCTTTACCCAAGTAAATCTAGCCTAGACTCTTCTTCCAGTAGGATTCGCACATGATTCGAATAATCTGGCCGGGTTTTCAACAAGTCTCAGTAACCTGAGTCACATCTCCATGAGCAGGTTACAGTAGGCCTGCAAAGCCTGGGACGAGTGGGGCAGCCAATTATTGAGTCACATACTTACACCCCCCATTCCGGAGGGTTTAGGAAAAGGCTACTGTGTTAGACTGCCGTTTCACGTTCCAAAGCTTACACAACATGGACGAACGGAGTGAAGCGCAAAACGTTGGTCTTATCGCGATTCACTACTATGGACTGTTAGAAGCGTTAGAAAACTCTGTTCAATTAATTGTGGTGCCTTTTTGGATGGGGGGGAGGGCCCAGGCGGGAGGTACATGATAACTTAAGGCAGCTTAATTGTTGATTTAATTGCTTATACGATTCCTACTCTCAATATCCGGATAGCGACGCTTGCAATCACGCTTGCTCTCCAACGTGCAGAAATCCCTATCCAATCATAAATCATGAAGTCCATAATTCAGAACACTAGCACTCTAGCAGTGTGACCTCACCAACTGACTTCTTAGGCTCGCTAGAGAACTGTAGTCTAGAACTTTGTGTTACGTTACATATGTTGCATCGTTACACCCCTAACCCCGGTTTCCCCACCTGTAACGATAGTTTGGTCCATCTTAGCCGGTGAATTGATCCTCACTCCTCCATTCGCCACTCTAACACCATCCTCATCCCACCCTTCACCACCGCCAAACATCATGTTCAACGATGATCTTCTCATCTGCAACGCTTGCGGAACCCAATTCGATACCTGCGACCGAAATGTGCTCAAGAACTGTCGAATTTGCGATGTTTGCTCCCTCCCCTTGTTCAAGCCCGTGACCGGAGCTAATAGAGCTCTTTGTTCTCGTAGGACCCTCGCCAATTTGTTCCTCCAACCGGACAATCGTTCACAACCCTTGCGGCTATGAGGGGCAATTATGAGACTAGGATGGCCCCAGATCAAACCAACAATAATATAATTTCCATCTGGACCGAACCGAAAGTACTGTTGCTATTTCGCTACCTCTTAGGGGCTTGGTGCTAATGGGGTATCTTTTAGTTTGCGATCGGCCAGCGTGCCTTCTTGATTAAAACGCCTCACGGAAACGTTCTATGGGATCTAGTAACCTACCTTAACGGTGAGACCATCCGAAAAATCAATCAAGAGGGCGGGATCCAGGCTATTGTGATTTCACACCCACACTACTACACCACACACAACCTCTGGGCAAAAACATTCCGTTGTCGGGTATACCTCGCAGCAGAAGATAAAGAGTGGCTATGTCAGCGGGATCCCCAGGGAAGGGTCTTCATCGAGGGGTACAAGAAAGAGGTTATTAAGGGAGTAACAGCAGTTAAAGTGGGAGGGCACTTTCCAGGTAGTTTAGTGCTACACTGGGAGGACAGATTGTTCATTGCTGATTCATTTGTCACTGTACCGGTGTGCGATCTTTAAGGACTTACGTATGAGGTAGCCTGCTAATAAATATAGAGTGCGTTGTATCACGAGGGAAGACTACCGGGGACCGCGACTTTTAGCTTTATGTGGTCAATTCCGAACATGGTAGGTTCTTTGATCCTGCATTGGTATGCTTGTCTAATGAGATTAGATTCCGATGTCACCACAGGCTATAGTAAATATTTGGAATGCCCTGAAGCCTTACGAATTCACGACTACCCATGGTGCATTCACAGGGCTAGATGTTCGGGACTCTAGGGTCAAGCAGAGATTACTGGAGAGTGCTAAGATTGCAATCAGGGCGATGGGATATGAAGAGAGTCAGTTCATTGAGCAACTGTCGGAGTAGGAACTGACGCAATAACTGCTTTTGAAGACTCCTGTATCATGCTATTATTATTCGCCGACACTAAGGTGGAGAGCAAGGTGTTGTAAGAAACCGTAATATCAATACCGGGATTTCTCGCAATCGTGCGCAAAAGGATACTATATTAGTTCCTAAGGTGGGAGAAAAGAAGCCATGGCAATAGATCTTGGGAAGTGACAGCGAATATAAACAGCGGGTACTTCGTAGCGAAGTGAATAAAACACTTTTGTGGAAGGGGGAGTGTATGTGTTTGAAAGACAGCTCGAACAAAGGTGGGAAGCGTGGAGATGGTCTCTTAAATTATACTTACAGGAAGAAGATGCATGACAAGAGGCAATGAATACACAAAGGCTTAGGGAAATGCCCCCCCAACATACTGCCGTGGGGATTATTCCACCAGGAAGGAAATGTGGACGAAGGTTGTGCAGTAGTGCAATCACTCGAGCCCCTTTCCCGCCCTGTCTTGGTTTTGATTACAGCAGTGAATTTAGTATCATAGGGAGATGCTCGGATAGGTTTTATTCCCTCTCATAATCGCTCGCAGAACTCGGACCAAAGCATGGTGGAACGCCAGCATGTTCTGTACAGTACCGAATGTTTCCCGAGCCGACACGAGACATCACTCGCCATTGGGGACCGCTTGTCCAAAATGACCCTTGTCACCTTTTATACATTCTTTTTCCCTTACCACTACCTTTTAACTCCCCTGTTCTTCTATATGATGGTCCTTCTTTTCTTCTGGCTCTGCTGGAGGCTTGAGAGGCTAAGTTAGTCTGTGGGGGTCGCGCAAGCCGCAAAGGTGAAGAAGCGAGAGATAGATGATGTTTGGGGATTGTATACCCACACACCCTTGATTTGTCAGTCTTAGAGGTCTAAAAAAGCTGTGGCCCTGTACGGGAGACCGTCACGGCTGAGGCTGAGTTCTCGAAATTAGCTCGCATGAGAAGCCCTATAGCCGCCCGGATAGGAAGAATTCACCCAAAGAAACCCGTCCCGCAGGGAGTTTAGCACTGCGGGGGCAGCGACTGCGTTGTGGGAGGAGTAAAGAATGTGGGACTTCCCCTAGGCTAGGGCATTTGGTTACTGGTGAAGTAGAGAGATGCAGATTCTAACGATCGTGAATAAAATATGGCCGAAGGACTCCGATGGCTGCGGAGGATGACGGCAAGCAGGTGGCGAATGGAGGCATGTTATCCCAGGTTCACTCGGTTGACCTTGTTCCGGGGAAGGATGGAGAAAGCTCCGCTTTTGGTGCAGCTTTCCTATTCAGGTTCTTCGTTAAATGCTTTGGAGTTTCGATGATGGTTCGAAGGCACTACATCCCTGGATCACATGCAGTTTTCTTAAGGAGTTGGAGATTTGATCACATCTTGGGAAAGTATGATATCAATGTCCTCAGGCGTATTTTTCGCCATCGAATTTAATGTCATAGCTTTAGATGATGACATCCGACGAAAACTAAAGAATCTGGTATAAGGTGACATTGAGCCAGTGATTCATATGGTTGGTGTGCATCAAGGAGGACAGGTCGGTTTTAGAAAGAGAAGGGCAGAAAGAGAGTGTGTGTGGGGGTGTTGAATGTCTATTAATTTTGTTATCTGAGATATGTGGGTAATGTTAGATAATTCTCCCAATATTTTTGAACGGTCCTTCTGGGTACTTGTTCTGATCAGGCTTTCGTGGAATTAGCTAGACGCCGTTGCTGGACTACCCGGAAGGAGCAGCTCCCTCGTGAAGGCTCGACGTTAATAACAGTTCGCAGTGATGATGTTCCGGCTCCTCGGTACCGGTGGAGCTGGGTGTCCCACCGGGAGCGTACCCGCTGGCGCAACCGATATTCTGGACCCTGCGTTAGGGAGTTCTTGAATTGAGGTTAGTTGTATGTATCCGGTTACTTACCTGGTTCTGTGTTCAAACTCATATGCCGTCACCCGGAGGGCAAATCGGGTGCAGATGTTCAAAAGTGCGGGAGACGCATAACTCTCACGCCAGTGGGCACAGAGGACTATATATCATGGGAAATTCGCGGTCGCCGCCGAGATCCATCCATGACAAGAAAGCTAAATATTTAGTGGGGGCGTAACTAGTGAAAACCTCATTTCGGCATTCACTGAAATGTGTGCTAGGAAGTCGACTAGTTAGATCACGAGAAGAGACTATTTCCAATAGTAGGTTTCAGTGAATTTGCCGGAAATCAGGTAATCCGAGCACTCTATTGCCGGCCGTTGTAAGTTTCCACGCGCGAAGCCGGATTCAACCTTGCAATCCCCCCGTGTGGGGCCAGTACGAGCACTCGAGTACGGTAAGTGTACCAGTTCTCTAAGCCCTTCGGCGATCTCCAGGAGCACCCCTGCGAAAGCTAATTCCTTAGACCGGAGGATCGTCGTTCACGCGAGGAAATCGCCGCCTTCGAGCTGAGTAGGAGACAATCCATTCCAGAACGTGGCTGCATACACGGAAGGTGGCCAAACCGGACTTCCGCGTCCTCCTCCCAGTCGAACCTCCCACACTTTTCGGCGGTACCCTTCCCAGGCGATTCCCTAGGCGGAAAATTCGTCGTCTCTGAATTACTATCCAGGAGTCGACAAGAGCGGAAAGACACTGAAGTATTAGATAAACACACGCCAATATACAAGTAGCACCTATGAACCAAAAAGAAACTCACTCCTGATATTACCAAACTTGGTAAATCGCAAGAATATCACGGACCCCTTCGACCACTAGACCCCACCGAGGTTTTGATATCCATCGGAGGTAAGTAGGTGATGTCGATATATATATAGGGATCAGAAATGTGGATATGAGGTGAAGGTTCGAGAGTGGCTATCTATTTTCGGCGCTTCTACAGTATGTCCTGCACGAAACTGATACGCCAGATACCTATCGTGGCCAAATTAGTTCGTGGGGGCCATTTCAGTTTGCGGTAATCTAATGTTCTAAACATCCGGTAGCAATCTTCCCAAGAATTGGGCGTGAGTGCTTGTAGTTAGCCTCCTCAACTATATGCGCCGGTGACGAGTAGGGTTGATTCAAGTCAATGGACCTCGTGAACGAGGGGGGTGGTGTAGGTCGGAATTGTAGTAAGTTATGCTATGTAGTCTTCCTTGTGAATAGCGCGAGTACAACCACGAGTCCTTCAATGGGCGGGGTGGGGCCACTTGAGTAGGCATTAATCCTCTTTTTACCAATAATAACCCCGTACTCCACTATCCATTTCCCCCGAATGCAGCTCTTTTACAAGATATTTTAGGGTCTAATTTTACTACCCAACTCTCAACAGCAAAACTACTTAATCCAATTGTTGTCCTTCCTCTATTTCCTCTAATAAAGTGACCTCCACGAATATCTATGTCTATGCGACCTACCGGAGACTTGCCTAGTACCATGAGTGCACCCCTGAGGAGAAAGAAAGCATAGAAAAAGAGAGGGAAAGCAAAGTAGGCGAGAGAAGAGGAGGGAAAAAGAAGAGAATGGGCAGGTGAGATGGGGGAAGGAAGTAGTGAGGAGGGGGAGGAAAGCGAAGAATCTGAAGGAGAACTAGAGAATGGAAGAATGGAAAACAGTGAAAGATGCAACGTTCCTATAGGTCTCCGTATTCCGGCATTTGCCCAGACTACACCAAAATTCCTCTCTTTCGAGGAGTTGATATATCCCTTAGAGGCCTGAGAATGAGGAAAATGAGTAACCTCAATCTTAGCTGGATTCGACATTGAGCTCGCTCCGGCCAAGCTTGATACCTACCAGTAAGCCTTTCCTACAATAGGAGATCGAGAAGCCAAAGGTGCAATGAAGGAGCGTATAACCTAGAGGTGCTTGTTTTAGAGGAGTAGAAGACATATCATACTTCAGGCACTGCACTGCGCTTATATCAAGGCTTATGGATTTTTACAACCTGAAATTGCTGTAGTTAATAATAAGCGTGGGTTTTTCGGGAACGAAATTGAATCCGCTATTGTATCTTGAATTGGGTGGCATGGAGTGATGGAATCCCTATACCGGTACCACGTGAGAATGTTTTTGTACTTCTTGAACTTAGATGATAATGTTATGGTTTTCGATGCCATCCACTGCAAAGTCCTGTGACCCATACATCCAAATATAAAAACCAAATTCTTGGCGTACAAAAGGTCTGGGTGTGTCCATCACAAGGTCTCTAATCTGAAAGTATATTTTCTACGGTAGGATTGGAAACCAAAAACTTTGGGGGAATACTACTTGTAAAACCAGTGGTTTTGATGACATCACTACTAAATCATCCTCCACGAGAAAAAGTATAAGAAAAGGGTTTAATACAGGAGATTCCTTGGGATATAGACCCTCAGGATCTAAAATTTGGAACTCTTTTTCGCACCACTGCAGTGCTTGTCAGTACGTGTTTTGCATGGGAAAGACATGGCAGTAGATTTTACTAATTTTTGATGCGCCTCGCTCTATGCATAACGCAGGTAGAGGCGGAGGAAGTGTATACAGTTGTACAGGTATTCCATGGGCGGATGAGAAATATAGATTCACCTCTCGTATACTGTAGCTGCTTGCTATCACCCAGGGACTTTGCCTCACAAGCATGAGCCCCCAAGCTTTTTTTATTGTGGAAAAGTCACTTAGCCACGACACAGAGTTACCGCATCACATTACCGTATTTTGAAGTTGGCCCCCCCGCGCTCTGTTGAGGTCGAAAGGCCCCCACCAAAAAAAATACCATGATTTTGGTCTGTGTTTCCGGTGTTCGGTGAACTTCCCGAGTCTCGCGCTAGCCTTCCCGAGTGACCATATGTGAATACTCGAGTACCGGCACTCCCTCCCCAAATCCCGATCTCACGACCCAGGACTGGGAGGACGCCGGCACGGTAGCTCCTGCGGAATTGAAAACACGTTGCAGCCCACCCACGGTACTAGTCAGTACACCAACTCTCAATCCAATCAGGGGAACCGGTCGACGTTGTGGCACAAACACTATCACCTCTCTATATACACAAAAAGTCGTAGCAGAGATATGATAGAGATTTTACGATAGGCGAAAGGCGACTCCGGATTCGTTTCCCCGGAGATATAGCCCCCTGTCAATGTGCGGACAGAGATTTCTGGTGATCTTGAGCTTCCGA